TCCAATAATTTATCGCATCCAAGTATTTAGCCAAATAAGAGCTCCATCCCTTAATAATATCTCTTAAATCAGCCAATGATATGTAATTTATCATGCTGTCATATACTATTGCCTTAAGGGATGGGATCTGAAGCTCGACGAGAAGCCAATGGTTACGTTCCAAAACAGGGATAAACACCTGCAATCATAAGTAATAATTCATTCATTTGCGCACTTATTTATGAATACCTTTAAACTCAATCTAAAATAAACACTAACCTTATCGACCTCCCACCATGCAGGATAAAGTTTAGCTTGTCCATTGCCCAACGCAAATGATTCATCTCGTTGATTCTTCAAGTGAACGGCGTTAAAAGACGTCGGCATAATTGTATACCGTGTATTTCTTTTATTTTCCTTAAGTTTCCTAATTATTAGAAGACGTGACACCCACGCATCGATATGCTGTTTTACAAAAAAAGACATATATTAGTAACTTACATAAATTTACAAAAAAAAATAATCAAATGAAAATATAAGACTTACCCCTCTATCGAAATAGCCATTGTCTTCGACCCCTAATAATACGCCCCACCAAGACCGATCAAGAAACAAATAGATATCATCATTGAGCTTGCATATGTCAGTGAAACACCCCTGGCTTCGCTCATGTAGATAAAAATCAACTGCGGTCTTAGCCCAAAGGGTGTTATCCAGAATTGTGTCCGGTAGTTGTTTCCTCTCCTCTTCAGATACCAGTATGGTACTGGCCGGTAACTCATACGAGAGCCAACTTGAATCCATCATGTCCGGCACGTCAGAGGGTTTCTCAAGAATCCTACATATGACGCCATGTGAATCGGGCTCTTGAATGGTGGGAGGGACCTCTTCAACGATGACAGTGGCCTCTTGAACGGTGGGAGGGGACTCTCGAGGAATGATAGGGGCCTCTTCAACGATAGGAGTGGACTCTTGAGGGATGATAGGCGAGTCGGGCTTCTTCTTGCGGTGTCTTCACACTATTGGGGTATACGGAGACTTAATAGCACGTGCACGCCGTCTGATGCGTGAACTCTGTCGTGCAAGAAAAACCCGACGTAAAGCATCCACCTTATCGGTCCGCTAAATAAAAATACAAATATCAGTAAATAAACAGACATGATATTTAAACAGTGAAAACAAAGATAAATATATTTCAAACTTTCAACCAAAAGACAAAACAAAGACAAATACTAACTTCACAGTGTTAAAGTAAAAAGTTTAGCAGTTTTGGCAGCAACCGAATAAATTTACTAAGCAATCTAAGTGAAATGGTTAATTTAAGTGAAATTACGAGTAAATTTATCATCAAGTTAAATATGGAAAATCTTAAACTTACCTCGTTGCGTAGAGTATGAACCTCATTCTGCAACGATACTACCATCTCACGTAGAGCGGCAACCTCACCACGTAAAGTAGACACCTCCACACGCCATGCACCATCGTTATCAAGTAAAGTACCGATCTCCTCACGCAAGGCATTGACCTCATCACGTAACTCCCTTGACTCATCCCGTGGAAGTGGAGAATAGGGAGATAGAAGTCGTGGCATCTTTGCCGGTCGCCTATCATGAGGTGATGGTGGAGAAGAGGCTCGATGATATGACGGTATAGGTGATGGCTCTCGTTGTAGAGGTGTATAGTCGGGTCGATCAGGTGATGGCTCTAGGTGAGGTGATGGCTCTCGAAGTGGAGGAAGTGGAGGCTGCTCATCATTCGTGCCATCAAGAAAACGCTGACTAGCTTGCCACCAATCAGTGGCAAGCTCAGCCTCCGTGGGTGTCAGTCTCAAATGGAATGTTGGCCTCCTAAAAATATAAAAACTCAAACAAAGTTAAACGTCTAATATTAATAACTTGTTTATATATGATAGTATTTGTGTTAACTTACATTATTTATTGTCGCATATGGTATTAAGTCTTCCCAATCCAACAGACGTTTCCTCTTCCAGGAAATAGCCCTGGGAATATCATTTGAAGTTTTTATTGTATATGTCTTCATGGCGGGAAAGGCCTCGAATATCCAAATCTACAAACAATATAATAACAAACATTAGTAATTGTTAAATAATTAATTATAATTTTGAAAACATTATATAGAAATTCTTACCTTAAAGGCCCAAACAAAGCCTGACAAAGTGTATTTCGACCCATCGCCCCGCAAACTTTTGCGGTCATCAAAGGCAGACGACAACTTAGTCCAGGTAGCTTTCCATATATACGAACCCCACGGAAACAGATTCCATGCATTTAGGTCCTCTACCAATAATATTAGCTCCTGAGGAATAGGTTGTCTGGCCTCTCTGCCTAAAAAGCCGGCATACAAAAGTAGTAGAAGGCATACTCGGACAACATCGACGTCATTCATCCGAGTAAAACCATCTTTCTTATTAAACAATTTCTTCATGCCGTCGACGTGTAAGTTCGGCTTCTCTATTGACTCATCAGGAAAAACCCTGGATAACCATGATGGGCGGGTGATATGACAAGTGTACCGGCCTACATCATCGTGTCCGAATCGTAGACCAGTGATTAAGCAGAACTCCTTCCGCCCAAAACAAGTATACGCCGGTGGAAAATGAAACCATATCTCTTCCTCACCACGTTGTATACTGTCGGGTAGATCGCTAGTCATGGTCTGAAGCCACAAATGGGTCAAACTAGCATCTCCACCCGGATGCTGTACTCTCAGCCATGGCCCGAAGCAGGTTTCTTCAAACAATTTTCTTTGTGCAGGTGAAAGCTTCGAAGCAATTGTAGTGGCTAGGCTAACTTTATTCCTTAATGTCAATGAAGCCGAAAAAAATTTCTACAAAAAAACAATAAACATACCAAGTTAGATATACCAAAAATTACACTGTCAAGATATACCAAAAACAAAACAATAAACATAAATAGTAGTTTATTCTTGAAACTAAAATTTGAAACACTGTTTTTGTCTTTTGGTTGAAATGAAAATCGAAACGAGATAATGAGAATCGCAACGCGGAAATGACTATCGCGACCAGACAATCGCAACGCGAAATGAAAATCGCAACCGCGAAATAAAAATCGCAACGCGAAATGAAAATCGCAACGCGAAATAAAAATCGCAATGCGATTTTTGTTTCGCATTGCGTTTTTTATTTCGCGTTGCGATTATCTCGTTGCGATAGTTATTTCCGCGTTGCGATTTTCATTCTCGAAACTATTCTTCTTCTGCATTAATTCAACCAAAAGACAAAGCAAAGACAAATACTAACTTCACAGGCTAAACAGTTTAGCAGTATTGGCAGCAATCGAATGAATTTAATAAGAAATCTAAGTGAAATGGTTAATCTATTATTGAAATTACCAGTAAACTTATCATCAATCTCAATATGAAAAACCTAAAATAATGCAAAAATTTCAAAATAAAAAATAAAAAAACTAACCCTCGGATGTTGATTTTCCATTTCTGAATGATTGTGAGGGATTTTTGACTGTGAATGGTTGTGAGGGATTTCGCCGGCGATGGGGACGGAAATCTTCGGAGATGGAGACGGATTTCGCCGTAGAGAGTGAGAGATGGAGATGGGACTGAGTGTTGTGTTTTTGGGTTTGAGGTTATGAGTTGCGATTACTGTGGACGGTTCAGTTTCCGATTTATTAAGAAAAAATTCGTGTTTGGAATTTGAAAAAAAATACGCGTTAATACGAATGGCGCTATGTAAATCGGGTTGCGAAAGTCAGTATCTCGTTGCGATTTTGTATTATCGCATTGCGATAGTAAGTATCGCATTGCGATAGTCAGTATCGCATTGCGATTTTCCCAATTCGCGTTGCGATTTACTTATCCGCATTGCGAATTGGGAAAATCGCAACGACATTGTATACCATCGCAACGCGATTTCCAACTATCGCAACGCGAAATGCAACGCGAATTTGCGATAATGGAGATCGCATTGCGATTTTGTTGGTCATTTTGGTAAATCCGGAAAAAGTTGGTTAAAATCGTATATTATATGGGATTTTTGGTCACTGAGGTTATTTTCTCTTTTATTTAATCTTCTAGTCTCGAAAGATTATTTAATTTTAAATTAATCTTTATTTATTTTATAATTTTATAATTTAGTTTAATATTTAGTATATTATTATTTTATATTTTTTATACTTTTTAAGTGAACGATTTTAATTTTGTTTATATTAGAAATGTGATCGTTATATTTTTAATTGAATATTTTTAATATTTAATAAAAATTTAATTAATTAAAAATAAATAAAAAAATATTGTATATGAAAACAAATTTTAATTAAATAAATAAAATTTAAATAAATTAATTAATCTCATCTCAGTACGTCACTTGATATTTTTAAAATAAAAAATATGTTTACTTTTAATGAAAAATTTGTCGATATCCACTATCCCGTTTAATCTATATTCAATCTCATGTAGTTCCAATTACTGCATTGGTAAATTTCAGGTCGACCCATTCTTATACTCTTAATGAAGTCAAAGTTAAGGGTTTTTAATTAAACTTATTATTTCATCAACTAGATCATTTATGGCTTAACATTTAATGAAGAAACTAACATGAATCGTGAAAAATGATATAACTACATATTTAATTATAGTTACTTACACATTCTATCAATTTGATATTAGTTTTAATTTAATAAATTTATGTCTATAATCAAATGGACCAAAGAACTTTTATTTTTATTTTTATTTTAAATTTAATTAATTCAATAAAAATTTCATCCGACCAGATTAAAAAAATACTTCTAACCCATTTGATCGGAGAATTAAATTTATTGAAATAAATTAAAACTAATACCAAATTAATAAAATATACAAGTATCAACAATCAATGTATGATAATGTTAATTATTTAACTGTCGGCAGATAAATTGATACATTAAGTAATTTAATTGACAAAACTAATAGAACGAAGATAACATTAAAACATCATTATTAAGTGATCATTCATGTAATTTACACTGAAAAAAACTTGTTCCCTCTACAGAAAAGGCCAATGGCGCTTTAATCATGCATTCTTGTGACTCAGTCTTGTGTTTCCCCGAGTTGAGTACGCATCATTTTCTATCAATATGCATCGCAGGTAACAATTGTTGAAATTAAGATCAACCTATGTATTAAACTTTTCCCTATTTAAGGGTTCCTCAATCCTAATTGGTGAAAAGTATGGACTTGAAGCAAAGCTACTCCAAGTGTTTAGCCAAATCAATCCACACTGATATCATTCCCTTATTTACAAGAGGTAGAGGAGAAAGATATACGGATAAGAATCCGAAGCCTGATCTCAACAAAGACTAAAACGTAAATCATATACCCCTGCACCAACGGCTAGTGGACCACTCTTATTAAGCATCAAGTGTTGGCATACGGGATGGATATAACTATCTTCACAAATCAGCCGAACTTGAAACAACTTCCTAGTTGAGGTTCTTAGTTTCCTCCTTATCAACAGAAACAGAAGTTCAAACAAAACAATTTTCAGCATGTTGCCTGATAAAACAATTTAACCAGGTATACATGTATATCATCTTTCAGTCATCAAGATCAGATTAACACTCATCACAATTGTGTTCAAAGATTCTAATGGAAAAAAAGAGATACCCCTGCAAAATAAAGCCTAAGATGGGGATCACACCTGATAGAACATGATAGAAGTGTTCACCCAAAAAGTAAGACTCAATATCCCACTGTATCTTAGACAACAGTAAAGTTAATTGCAGGCAAAGATTACCAGGATAAATTATTTTTTAGTTTTCTTCTTTCTCTTAGCGGAAGGCTTCTTGGTTTGCAGTTCAGGCTCCGGAAGGCTTTCTAATTGGTCGGTTCGAGGTTCTTCAGGCAGTGTACAGTGCAGAAATTTCTTGTTAGAACCGACTTTGTTGCAGAACAGTTTTAACAATTTTCTTCCCCTCATCCATTTCAGCATTATCTTCATGTGTGTTTTGCTGTTTAATCCACCAATACCAGCTTCCTGTTGTTAGAATGAAGAGTGCCAAAGTTAGAATGAAGAGTGCTTGTACTAATACACAAAATAAGAAATTAAGCATAGCCTTCTATTTTCTCCTTATTCGGAAAGCTTTTCCCTGCTTTCATTGAAACGTTAAGACTGACACAATAAATGCAATGCAACGTAGAATCTTTGTAAACCAGCACGATCAATGCCTAAGTAGAAACCATTAACTAGAGCATGATATCCAAATGAAAACAACTGCTTAGAATATATGCAGTACTGTAATGTATCGTCAAGTGGGTGAAAACTCAACTATTTTGATTGGCACCGCAGCGTACGTCAGGTAAACCATTACTGGGTGTACAAAGCAATAATGGGAATTGACTATGTATAGGGTTGTCACTGTTCTACCAGAAGATATTGATCATTACCCTCCCCTTTGCACATCCCTTGTGCTTAAAGATTCAGATATAACTCGTGTTCAAAAAGAGAGAACACGAAATTAGAGCTAAAAAGAAAATGAAAATTACAGCATTATCAGTGTAGCTACTGTAAAAAGTACCAAGGCAGTCAATTCGATTCACAAGAAACAAAATGAAACTACCTGACAAGGAGACAGTGAGAAAATGAATTCAGTGATCTAATCTAGTGTTGGTCATAATCAATTTTTAACAAATTATCGCCTCTTCAATTTCAGCATCATCTGTCATTGTAAATACACAATTCTAATAGAACAACATCAGCTTTCAAGTTCATAAAGTAAACCGAGTGAAGAATATGGGAATTATTTGAAATGGTAATCACAAAAATACAATCAACAAGAAGAAAAAAGAAAACCTGGGAGGCGTTCCAAGTGTTGGGAACGGTGAGAGGGCCACGTTGCTTGATGAGATCATAAAGGGAACCGGCAATGGATTTAGCTTCTTGAATAGGTACCTTTGGGTTAATCTTTCTCACATTTACTGCCCTACTCCTCGACATGTATCGGACCAACAGACTCCCACAAACGCTGGCATTCCCTCCATTTATGTTGTTCTTCACCAACCCTGCTAACCACATCGTCCCTTCTCTTTCAAAGGCCAAAGCCTTCTTACCCTCTGATTTTCGATTCTGCTTCCCCAATTCGATTTAAGGGTTCTAGAAAAACTCGTATAGGAGAGGGTGAGTGTTGTTGCCTGGGGATTAATTGAAACGGGCTTTAAAACTTCAAAATTTCTATGAGCAATTGTGGGTTAATAATATTTAGGGCCCATTTACCTCTACGTTTTTGAAACAACTTTTTTTTTAAAAAATGATTTTCACCCTAAAAATAATATTTTTAATAGTTTGTATTATTATAAGGGACAATTTGTTTAAGTCTTTTAATTAATTAATAAGACACATATATGTGTCAGCTACTCGAATCTATAACTTCTAAGGAACTTGGCATTCCCTAAAAACAATCTTAAAATTTAATTTTGAGAAAGAAATATATTTTTCTCACATAACAATCAGGGGCGGAACTAAGAATTTATTATAGAGGGGGCTGGTAATTATTTATTTACTTTTTAAAAAATATATAGTTTTATTATTAATTAATAATTAAAAATAATAATTGGCGGTGGCCAAGGGGAGATGTTCTGTCATGGATAACAATGTAAATAGAGAAACTAGAAATTTTAACTTGTAGCTTCCTAAAATCACCTATCAGTATAAATGAATTGAATTTAACTGAATATAATTATATTTGTGTTTAAGTATTTATTTCGAAGGTATTCATGTTTGATTCATGTATGTTTATGTAACACCCTAATCCAATCCGACCCTAAGATCTATGGATTACAATGTTATACAGGACTACCAAAATAGTGACCCAAAAAATTTATTTAAAAATCGCTTTATAAAACAACTGATAATAGTCCATCCATAGCAATTAAAATAAAACATGGCATTAATCTGAGTTTACAAAATATGAGGAGCTCCCAAAATATATCCAAAATAATGAAAATATTGAGTACAAATACAAGATACAACTAAATACACATAAGAGTCCATAAATGGTACACACCCTCTAAGAATGACTTAAGACGTACTCTAGAGGTCTCTGAAAATTTGATATGCTACGCTGGAATGTCTGACGATGATAGCTCCCCACGAACGAGCTCCTAAGAACCTGTGCACAGAAACACATTCTGTACGTTGAGCTTACGAGCTCAATGCCTCACTAATAATTGTATTATACTATATACATTCATTAAATGAATTGGCTACTGGCACAAGTCTGAAACATGTAAAAACTGATATACTAAACTATGGCTAGCATCATGGTGCGGTTGAAAGTTCTGCATCTCGAAGCTCACAGACCCCTCTAGCCTTTCGGAATACCCTTTGGTACCTGGGTGAGATCTGAAACTTCATCGTAAACGTACACCCAACCTCATAGGTATATGGGGTAAGATCTGGAGTTGTATCAGAAACGTACACCCCGCCAACTTGCTCCGTCGAGTCTTGGGGCATTTGTGCCTAGTCCGCTACTGAAGTGCCTTGGCACTAACTTAGATATCCACTGACTGTCGTATTCTACTAAGGGAGACTCGGGTGTCCTGGCTATTTCTCGAGTGTTAAACAAGGCTAATTTTATGTTTTCGTAGTTGTTATTGTTTCTACTATTATGATATTAATTATTGTTCTCGCTTGAAGTCTTATTTGTTGTTATTCTGAGTATATGGGGTACCTCAAGTCTGATCCCTTAATTCTTGGATTATTTATCCAAAATTGTTTGTGGGTACCGATACTGACCCATTAGTATCGATACTAAATCTCTGGTATTGATACGCATATACCAGTATCGATACTCTGTTACTGATATAGGCCATTTGGGTAAGGTAGAATCGATACTCTACGCTGAGTATTGATACAAAATTTAGGTTTTATTTAAAAAAAACTCGTCTCAATACCCCTATAGGGAGTATCAATACTCCAGCTCTGGTATCGATATTCTATGAATGAGTATCAATACTACCCTTTTAAAACTGCTTAGTTTTTCCCTAAATAAAGAATAATATCAATATTGTTCTTACAATATCAATATCCTTGCTACGGGGTGCCCTGTTTTGGCATAAAAAATCATATCTTTCAATCCCAAAAGCCTCACTGAGGTCTCCAACTGATGTTTAAGTGTTTTATTTGATATCATGGATCATAAAGAGTCTATAAACATGCTGAAAACACCCAAAAAATACAAATTACTTTGAACATGTTTCAAGCTTATGCAACCTACCAAATATCACCTAAATGAGTTAGATTTGGTATAGATGAGTTATGAGTGAGTTACTTTGCTAATCTATGCTGCTGAAAAAGTCCAAAGCTCAACCCAAAACAAGTTTATCCTTGTTCTTACTTTTGAAGCTTTCTCCAACTTTTCTCACTAACAAGGAATCAAACACTTTGGTTACTAACTGAATTTAGAGGTTAAGAGAGGTTTATAAACACTTCCTAAGGTTAAAATTCAATGAAAACTGACTAAAACCTTTAGGTTCCTTAAACCCCACAAAACCCACACTTTGAAAACTAAGGCCAAATCTTGTGTTTGAAGGCTTGCATTGAAGCTTGGGGTGGGTAGATTCTAAAACTTACCTTGGATATCATGAATTAGGCTTGCAAATCTCAAAGTTTTAACCTTTGCTAAGGTTTAAAGAAGAATGAAATGAATGGAGAAGAAAAGAAGAATAAAACTTGGTGTGGTGAAAGAGTGGAGAGGAAACAGACGTGAGATCGCCAATCTTAATTGATTGTTAGCTTTATTTTTGAATAATGGTCAAATTTCTTCTTTGGTCCTCCTGATTTTGGTTGCAACTAAAAATGCCCCTTTTTATCCACTATTTGGCTCAATTCAAGCCTAATTTCACTTTTGTTTGGGTCAAGGCTTCCTACAAGCTGAATGATTAAATTAATGCACATCTCGAGTTAGCATGAAGCTCCTAACTCAGGATCTAGGGTGTTACAGTTTAGATCTTTAATATCATGTTCGTATTCATTTATTTGTCTTTAAAAGTATTCTTGTCTGATTCATTTAACATTCACAAATATTTTCATTTAACATTTGTCAACCAACACTTTCTCATTTATTTTTTATTTGTAAACTAAATTAAATGAAAAAATTATATCTCTAGTCCTTAATTTCCTTAATTTTCATAGTTTAAACTCTAAAGTTCATTTTGCATTCATTTTAGTCATTTTCTTCACCAATATTAAAATATAAAAAATAAAAGGATAAGGAGAACATGATAAATGAGTCGATAAACGAGTTTGTGAAGGATTTTGTTCATGAATATAAACGAACCAATCATATATATGTTCGTGTCCATTCGTTTAATAAACAAACATAAATTTCGTTCATACTTATTAATTTAACTTAATAGTCGAATGCCATATGAACAGTTCACGAACATTTCATCAAATGTTTTTGTTTACTTGTACCCCTAAAATCACAATCTAGAGTTAATTAACATTAATATTTCAGACATTTCGATCAAAATCCTAACAATGATCAAACTCAGAAAAAAATGTTACTTCTACAATTAGAAATAACATAACAAAAAAAGGTATTGGTAGATTATTTTTTTTAATCCTTTTGGTTTTAATGTCTACTGGGAACTTCATAAACATAGAACATACACCCAATGCAAAGTCAAGGTTTGAGGCAAAGATGAAAAGAACAAAGAAGAAGCTGAAGTTGTAATGCGTTGGTAATTGTTAGGTTAAAATCTTACATTAAAAAATGTAGCTTTTTTTTAGTGTTGTTTCTATACTTTATGAATGTTCATGATGTCTTAAATGTGTTTCTTTTAATGAGGAAATAAAAATGTACTTCAAATAATGAACGAAAGCCAGCAATGGCTAAAAGTTAGGCCTTTTCTGTTTTCTCTTTTCAAATCATTATTTTTTCCTATATCTTTTTATTGAAATCCCTTTATGGTTTGTTGGCTTTTTACAATGGTTGCTGGGGATTTTTTTCTTCATTTTTGGTTTTTTTTTGTTCTTGTTGCTTGTCTATTTTTTTTTGAAATCTCCTTGTTTTTTCTCCCAATTATTCTCTTTTTTTCATTATTTTTTGGTGTTACTGATGAGTTCATCTCTATTTTTTTCTCTCCCCTTTTTGCTTGTGTTAATGGTTGTTACATAAGGAAAATCAGAGGATTTGTCTTGTTCCTCTCTTATACACAACCGTTAGGTCTCTTCCATTCTCTGTCATTTTTCATTTTTTCTCTTTTTTGCATATGGGGAAAAGTGGTCCCAATGGCTCCTCGTGATAGACAAGGATTATCGAGGGGGAACTAGGAGGGCTCACACAAGGGGTTGTTCGCATGAAAGTCGATGTTGTTGGGACTACCGATGTATCTCTCACGTGAAGAGGGGAGACTGGTGATGTGGAGATTTGATGACCGTTGAATTACCTACTATTAACGACGATAGTTGGATGGTATTATTCCCAAACTTGATGATAGGGGCATATTTTGGGGAATTAGGGTTCCACTAACCTTAATTTGCAACAAATCTAGATAATTGGATTTGTTTACAATTAGGTGGTGCCAAAAAGATGTGTTAGAAAACCTTAAATCCCCTATGGTTCAAGTATAGGCCTTCCTCTTTTGGGCTTCATCTATTTGTAAAATGGGTTTCGGTTCTTTAGTCTTAATTAGAATTCTGACGTTGGGCTCGAGCCTAATTTAGGCAGTAATTTGTAATATATGCAAAAGTAATAAATAAAATGCTAATTATTTTTTGTTAAAAGAAAACGGGCCTCATTAAAAACTCTTCTAAGACCTATAAGGGGAAAAGACTGCTCTAAGACCTTGTATTGCCAGAAAAATCATTGGATAAAGCAGACATAATAATCCAGGATAAACTAAGTCAAAGTACAAGCATTTCCAGAATGGAGAGCCCACTTAGCCAAAGTATGTTCCATAATATTACAAGTTATAGGAACAAAAGACACTTTTTATAATTTAAATTAGCATCCAAAATCCTACGAGCTTTCCGAAGATGATAACCCAACGTGGCCAAATCCTCATCCGGTCTACACATCTTGTTGACTACAAGCATTTAACCCGATTCAAATATTACACGCGTCTATCGATACTCACTTACCAAGGAAATAGTTGCATTCATAGCATAGACCAGCTT